CGATTGAGATTCTAGAGATCATGAGACTTAATACTTTGAGATGTTAATAGATATGGCTCAGTGATGATTGTGCTGTAGTTTTTTACTACATTATTCATCAAAGTGAAAACTCTCTTAAATGAGTGGTCTTTATGAGTATATTCTCAACTGGACTGTATGTATTTATTATCATACAATATTCTTGTCCGTCAATTTATTGATTGTTCTACCGTTTTAATTCAATCTTTTCTTAAAGCATTATCACTTCAATCGTATCGCTATTGACTGACCTATAGGAATTTGTGTGCTTCAAATAAATAGATAAATTTCGTTAAAGAGTGCAAACAATTATTTAAATAAGCATAGAAAAGCCTAGAAATCTGTTTAACATAACAGCACTAGTAAATTTACAGTTTCTCCTGAGTTCACTTCTCAAAATTAACATTTTTCAAAAGTTTCGACGTCTTTCCTAAAAACCCCAAAGTTTCATGCAGCCAAATAAATAACACTTGATTTATGTATAAAAACTGAACTTGAAGTAAAGTTCCAGTCCCCCTTTATTTGCCCAGAACTTTCGATTTACAGACTGGTGAGAATCTAGTTATCGGCCAAGTAATCAGTAGTAATGTAAGAGTTCGGTGCCAAAACTCAATAAACTTAATAACACTCAAGGTCACTGAAAACAACTGATACAAACCCAAGAGACAGAAAACGATAAATACCGATGGAAATAAAAGAAGTCAAAAGATGAAAAACAATAACAAGACTCACTGTATTCCATTATCACACACAAAAAATGTAAGCAAATAATTTCAGTCAGTCAGTAGCAACGCAGAACTTCGTACGTATGTACAAAAGTTCATGTTGCCATACCACATTATTAGCACAGAGACGCAAATGTCAAATCAAATCCCATAGTGATATAGACAGTAGAGGTAATAATGGTAATGAAGAAGAATAGGGTTTGAAGATATTATTCAAGAAGTATAATTCAGTGAGATAAGGTTAGAAAGACAAAGTCAGAGGTGCTGACGAATCCAGAAGATTAGGATTTGAGAGAGCACAATGAATGGATGCACTTGCGCCATTGCGAACGATTTTGAGCCATGTCGTTCAAGGTCTCTAACCATCGGTGACTTTCGTCTCGCGGACCCGAACCAGGTAGTCTACATCTACCAACATGACTCAGTCCACTTATCAGTGACTTCATGGATTTCTGCCATGTTTTGGTCTGGCCGCCCCTAACTTTCTTCCAACCTACTCCTACACCACAAAACATAGCTCGTCGAGGCAGTCGATGGTTAGGCATACGTATCACATGTCCCAACCACCTCAACTGATGAAGTTTCAATACTTCATCTATTGATCTGCCATCCTTACCTTGTACTCGTTTCCTAACGACAGCATTGCTTATTTGGTTGTCCCACGATATACGAGCAATGCTTCGGAGACATCGATGATCGAAACTAGTAACCTAGGAACATCTACTCTTAACGGCCATGTTTCACAGCTATATAGGAGAACGGAGCGAACTGCTGCGCAGTACACCCGTCCTTTGGTTAGCGAACGGATATCACGCCTACGCCATAAGCAAATAGTTTAACCGAGTGAAAATAATCCTGTTTTCAACGTTCAACGAAAGTAACCTATCTAGTGTCTCCTTGTTCCATTCGTGTCATTGTGCTCCGTGTATAAGTGTAGTTTCTACCAAAGACTTCATTTTGAAACATCTACACCTATCTACATGTCTTTCTCATGAACACACTACTGTCGGAGAAGAATACCAACTTCCCATAGGAAAAATGTGAATAAAATAGGAGTTTGAGCTGGAAATGAAATTCTTAGTAAAAAAAAATTACACTTATATATGCAACATTCACTCGCCAAATATACGGAGAACTGCTAGATATTGCACACATTGAATACTGGGAAGCAAATGTATCACAAAATTACAAACAAATAATATCTTATGCCATTTTATGTGTTTGGGGAAATGTCGAATTATTTTTTTTCATGTGTATAACGGCTAGAAATAATTACATGTTTATTATGTCAGGATGGCCGAGCGGTCCAAGGCGCTGCGTTCAGGTCTCAGTCCACTCTGTGGGCGTGGGTTTGAATCCCACTCCTGACACCAAGCTTATAAGTCATTGACGAGTGGACTTAGCCATGTCGGTAATTGTCGACTACCTGGTTGGGGTCCGCGAGATGATAATAATCGATGGTTAGATACCCTGAATGACATGGCTCAAAACCGTTCGCAATGGCGCCGGTGCATTTATTCTTTGTGTTCTCTCAAATCCTAATCTTCTGGGTTCTTCAACAACTATGGTTTTGACTTTCTAAACTTTTCTCATTAAATCATACTTCTTGAATAATATCTTCTAATCCTAACCACTCCGATTACTTCTAATACCTTCACTACCTCTTCTACTATTGGATTTGAATTGATAATTACATCTCTGTGCTGATGTGGTATGGCAACATGAACGGATGTACTTACGTACGAAGTTCTACGTTGCATCTGACTGATTGACTGACTGACCAATTACACAGAAATAAAACAATCAACACGTATTGTTTATATGGTATTAAAACATTTAAAAAAAATATATAGTATCTCAAGTAAAGCAATGATCTCATTCAAACAAAATAATTGCACTTAAAAGACAATATATCTCCTCCATGTAATAAAAATGACATCAAAAAAAAAATTAGTCAACCGTATCACTGTTGCATCATCCCAATTCATAATAAAACTTATAAAATTGTTGTGTTTTAAGAAGAATGTGAAAAGAGTACACAAAAGAAAAGAAAAAACCCAAGGCATAAAATAGCTTACTTGTATGAAAAAAGTGTCCGACTATATGCAATATCATGTATGATGAAATGGATGGATAGATAGATATTTACTGGATTGATTAATTAATTGAGAGATAATTCTCAACATAAAACTAACAGCATGTGGAGAAACATTGAGAATTAAGGGGAAAGGGTTGAATGCCTAAACTCAGCCGGGATTGATCGATAGATGATATTTTGAGACCTCTTGACATATAAGGTTGACAAAAAATAATTGATTGATAAGCTTATTACTTTTTATTATATTGTTTACTCTTTTGAATCAAGTATTTCCACTCGACCTCAGTACACTTTACAGAATATATGTTTTTAGAAATATGTCAAGGTTTCAATCCTGACCGGCTTGTCTATCGTGATCACTCAACTAAGATATATTGGCTGAAACATGTGTTCCTGAAGGTTTTACCATGGCAGGAAGGTCGATTGGAGAATAGTGAGACTAAAAGCAGCAACATAAGGTCTGGGAGCGATGTCGTACTTCTGACTTTAGAGGGGTGTGAAAGCAGTAAGATGTTTCCCTCGGACAACCAGAATCTGCAGCGACGCTACCTTTTCATAAGGAAGGAAGGGGTTAAAAAAGATCGACCCTAAAAATGCCATACATCATCTTACCTCAAGGATTCCCGTCTCGGGAGGTAAGGCCATTCGAAGAGTGGAGCTAACACGTCAACTTACTGCGAAAATGCCCCGCGTGACCGGCATCAAGCAGTTGTCTCCTGGGTCCTGTGGTTACGCTCCCAGATCACTAAGACCAACACTAATCCAACTGCTTTTTCAGGTTTCTCAAGAAATACCCTTCCACGGCGTGGGCAGCTGGGAAGTGACATCCGCCTCGTAACAGCACACAATACTAAACTAGTCAGAATCAACCCCCCTTTTACCTCCATGACTGACTGAATAACAAGTTGGTGTAAGTCCTCCGACTCATTATGAAGTTAAAAAGGCGATTGGAAATCTGAAGCGAGGGAGAATAGCCGAACCTGACAGGCTAATCCATGAGATTTTTAGGGGTGGTGGTCCTGTTTTGGCAGTTAAACTTACTAAGACCTTAGGTACAATCTGGGAACTGGACGTAATCCCATCTGACTGCTCTCAATCACTGATGGTCCCAATCTATAAAAAGGGACAAATGTCCTTTTGTGACAATCACACAGGAATTAGTTTAACTAATATAGTGTCTGAAATGATAGCCTCGATCATACCTCGACGCCTAACTAGAGCAGGTGAAGAGCAGACTTGGAAAAACCAGGGCAGTTCCAGACCTGGACGTGGATGTACAGACCACATATTCACACTTTGTCAGGTCTGAGAACACAGACACATATTCAGGCGTCTTACAATAGTTTTATTACTCGACCTTGCAATGACATTCAACTATGTCGATCGTGAGGTTCTACAGCAATGTATGTCATCAGAATCGATTATGTCGAGTGGTGTCCGTTAGTTTAACGCGATGAATCACGAAAACTAGTATTTGCAAACTACATGCTGGGAAAATCGACTGAACAGCACTGACTTAAATTTGGTATTAGCGAAATACTCGTCGGTTATTCAATGGTACCCAAAATAACTCATAGACTTGTCGGACTTTTGCACTGAAAAGTTTATTGTATGCATTTATCAAAGAACACTTGAGAAAATAACGTAGACCAGCATAACTGGTAAAATTTTAAAGATAAGCGGTAAAAATGGTTCGTTCATCGCACTGGATACCGTCAGCAGACATAACAACTTCTTAACTCTGCCATGGATGTGCTGTGAGTTTTCAGTGCTCACCTTGTAAACCAGTCACAAATAATTAGACATTTGAATATCAAAATTGAAGAATATGATTTATATATACTAGGTTGTTGTTAGGCTTATCTGTATTTGAAATTTTATCCAGGCAAAGCAACAATAACAAATTTAGTGGCTGATAAGAAAATCTTGGCTCTGAACAATACAATACCGACTGTGTTAAGGTATAAGAACAATTGACTACGACGAAAACACTAAAAAACTTTGAATGGGATTTTAAAGAATATCAGATTATGATCAAAGCTACTGTTCTGTAAATTAATATTATTTTCAACATTCTATAATATCGACTAAAAATTAAAAAAATTTAGTTCATAAAGAGAAATGTTATATTTGTTATATATTTTAAGTAATTCACTTACTTTGAGATTGATTAACACGGGATACAGTCCATGTGAATAGATTCATAAGTGATTGGCGGTCATAGACAGTGGTTTCAAACGTATTTGCCACTATATTGGAAAAAAAAGAAAAAACATAGATTTTGAGGTCCTGATATATAACAATATCATATCTAGTAAAGGTCCAGCAACAGAAGACAGAAAGCTTGTTCCCTCGGACAAACTAATCATTAACAAACCCGCTATACTAATAGTGTAACCATATGAAATGTAAAGTGATTACAAGAGAATTAAAGAAACATTCAGGGTCATAATTGTCACTGCACGAAACTAACCTGATCTTTATGTTTTAACAGTAAGTAGGTTAAGTCGTCTTCAAAACGATGAAACTATCAAGACTGATAGTTAGTGAGCGAAAAAAAAACATTTACAAACGCTTAGAGTTAAGTAGAATTGCATTGAAGAATCGTTTCTTAGGTAAAATAATACAATATATGATCTTCTCAGGTTTTTAAAACAATTTTTATCTTAGTTGACAGCTGACTTCTACCCAACGAAAATATTTATAAGCAAACATTAAGAATATGAAAACAAGTTGGTTTTGTTAGTTAGTCAGTCAGATACGACAGAGTACTTCGTACGTCCGTACATCAGTTCAAGTCGCTATAACACATTAGCACACTGATACAATTGTCGATTCAATCTCATAGTAGTAGAGGCAGTAGAAGCATTAGCGGTTATGGAGAAGATTAGGGTTCGAAGACATGATTCGAGAATTATTACCCAGTGAAATAAATTTAAAGAGAACAATACGGTAGTGGGGAATTCAAATTAGTATTTGAGAGAACACAATGAATGAATGCACCTGCGCCGTTACAAACGGCTTCTAGCAATGTCATTCAAAGTCCCTAAGGATTGGTTACTATCGTTTAGTGGACCCCAACCAGGTAGTCCACACCTACCAACATGGCTCAGTCCAGTCAGTCAGTCAATTAAAACGTAGAACTTCGAACGTACGTACATCAGTTCAGGTTGCCATACCCCATCAACACAGAGATGCAACTATCAGTTCAAATCCCATAGTGGTAGCGATAATTGAAGTGTTAGCAGTAATGGAGATTAGGGTTTGAAGACATGATTCGAGAAGTATAATTTAGTGAGATAACTTTAGAAAGAGAAGGTAGAGATGATGAGGAGTTCAGAAGGTTAGAATTTGAGAAAATACAATGAATGAACGCACCTGCGCCATTGCAAATGATTTTGAGACATGTCGTTCAACGTCTCTAACCATCGGTGACTTTCGTCTCGCGGACCCCAGCCAGGTAGCCTACATCTACCAACATGACTCAGTCCACTTGTCAGGGACTTCATGGATTTGTGCCATGTTTTGGTCTGGCCGCCCCTAGCTTTCTTCCAACCTACTCCTACACCATAAAACATAGCTCGATGAGGCAGTCGGTGGTTGGGCATACGTAATACATGACCCAAACACCTCAAAGCTGGTCTTGTGCTACTTCCTGTTAAGGGCATTCAACCAATCATGATCGTATAGTGACAGCCATGTAGTCTTATATATCCTATATATGAAACAATAAATTTACAATAATGTGAAAGGAAATAACTATCCATTATTCAATTCCACAGACAATTAGCCACTCCTTAAACAACTCAGTAGTAGTCTCATGAATCGATACAAGATGATATGTATTCTAACCTAACGAAAAGAGCTAATTTATTTTATTTTCAACATATTATTTTTATTATTTCTAAGAGGCAACACGGTTGTTCAATGTTACTTTATAACTTTTTAATTTACTTCTACAATCTTAGTGTTTACAAATAGTAAACATAACTGGCGAAATACTGTAAAATATTGAGGCTTACTTACTTACTTACTTTCGCCTGTTACCCCCAATGGAGCATAGGCCGCCCACCAGTTTTCTCCAACCAACTCTGTCCTGGGCTTCCCTCTCCAGTTCTGTCCAATGTTTGTTCACTCCTCTCATATCTTTCTCTATTTCTCGGCGTAGTGTGTTCCTTGGCCTTCCTCTTTTCCTTTTGCCTTGAGGGTTCCATGTGAGGGCTTGTCTAGTGACGCAGTTGGGTGCTTTTCGTAGTGTATGTCCTATCCATTTCCACCGCTTCTTCCTGATTTCCTCCTCCATTGGAATCTGACTTGTTCTCTCCCACAGTTCGTTGTTGCTGATGGTGTCTGGCCAACGAATACGAAGTATTTTGCGTAGACAACTGTTAATAAACACTTGTATCTTCTGGATGATGGCTTTGGTAGTTCTCCATGTTTCCGCTCCATACAGTAGAACTGTCTTGACATTTGTATTGAAGATCCTGATTTTGGTTTTGTTTGAAAGTTGTTTGGAGTTCCAGATATTTTTCAACTGTAGAAATGCAGCCCTTGCTTTGCCAATCCGCGCCCTCACATCTGCGTCCGATCCACCTTTCTCGTCGATGATGCTGCCAAGATATGTGAAGGTGTTAACGTCCTCCAAGGTATCTCCATCAAGCGTGATTCGGTTGGTGCATGTTGTGTTGCATCGGAGAATTTTGCTTTTTCCTTTATGTATGTTGAGACCTACTGCTGCAGAGGCTGCTGCTACACTGGTCGTCTTCTCTTGCATTTGTTGTTGAGTGTGCGATAGAAGAGCCAGGTCATCTGCGAAGTCCAGATCGTCCAGCTGCGTCCTAACTGTCCAGTTGATACCGTGCTTCACTCCAGATGTTGACGTCTTCATAATCCAGTCGATTTTCAAAAAATAATTCAAAAATATTGAGGCAGAGAATATTAAAGCTTCAAGAAATCGTTTTCTCTGTGACGGTTCCTAACTTATCGAATAGATAGGAAATCAGATCTCAGACTAGCACCAAAAAAAATTATCATTCACTTATCTAAGAGGGACAGTAAGCAAATCAATAAATTTTGACTAATTTTCATGGCGCTTATAAATCAATTAAAAATGAAATAGGGTCTATCTGATAAATAGCATAAAAATCATACTTTCCAAATATGCAAAACTTCTTTAATGATAGTGAGATAGACATACTGATATCAAGCCTATCATTGAAGAGCAAGGATAATTTATTCTTTGTTATTTACTTAGCAAATTAAAACCAAGCAAGGTGTTTTAGACTTCTTATGAAAAAATAATCGTGTTTACAGTTTCCGTCCAGATAATAAAGAAGGTAAAAAAAAAAAAGAAATTGGCCCAATGTTAACCACATACAGATAGGTAATTGCATTTGTTTATCTTAGTTTACGCAAACAACTGAAGATGACACCTTACATTTATATAAAATTACTCTCATTAAACATCAACTTAATATCACAGACTAGGGATCAATTTCGAATTTGATGATTTTGAGGTAAGTAAACTGAAATAATATGTACTACCAGTAAATTACCACTTACACAGCAAATAAATAATTGATTATTTATCCCTATAAATGTTAAACAGACACTTTTCCAAGTTTATTTTGTAAACAGAAATGTTAAAAAAAAAACGAAATTTCACTTTTCATTAATACTACTCTCCCCACATTATATCTATTGCTATTCAAGAAGCTTATATAGAAGCTGATCCACATAAATACAAACCCAATGTATTGATATACAGGACAGTTCAGTCAGTCAGTCAGATGCAACGTAGAACTTTGTACATAAGTACATCAGTTCGTGTTGCCATACCACAATAATTCAAATCCAATAGTAGAAGAGGTAGTAACGGTGTTAGGAGTAATCGGAGAGGTTAGGATTAGAAGATACTATTCAAGAAGTATGATTCAGTGAGAAAAGTTTAGAAAGTCGAAACTAGAGGTGTTGAAGAATCCAGAAGATTAGGATTTGAGAGAACACAAAGAATAAACGCACAGGCGCCATTGCGAACGATTTTGAGCCATGTCATTCAAGGTCTCTAACCATCGATTATTATCATCTCGCGGACCCCAACCACGTAGTCGACAAGTACCGACATGGCTCAGTCCACTAGTCAATGACTTCATGGATTTCTGCCATGTTTTGGTTTGGCCGCCCCTAGCTTTCTTCCAACCTATTCCTACACCACAAAACAAGGCTCGACGAGGCAATAAAGCAGTCAAAGTTTGTAGTAGTAGCCAACTGGAATTGAAACACAATGATAAGCTACATAATGCAGATAAGTTCTAGAGGGAGGTAAACAAACGAATACTTGCTGAATCTCACTAACAGAAATATTTTAGATTTTATGCATAGTATAGACAGAATTGTTATCGGATATTTGTCTGAACGCCTGCTAAGTGGAATAATAGTTGAAAAAGAAGACATTAACGTTTTCTTGCACAGACACGCAGGCAATATCAACATAGAGCCTGGCAAAGATGTGCGTTTGTTCAAGTTCTCAATGCCTCACTAGCACAATTAGATGAAAATAATATAGTAGAAACCACAAAAAGAGAAACTAAACCTGGGAATATGGTTTTTAAAAGAAGAAATAGCAATATAGGGATGAAAGGATGTTAGGATTCAAAATCAAGTGGAAGATAAAGTAAATACATCTGCGTCTAACACATGTTATTCAGTGTTTTCAACCACTAATTGCTGTCATCACATGGAGCTTACCAAGGTAATCTGCATCTAATATCTCAGCCCATGATTAGTCACTGCCAGACTAGTCGATTTTCCATCTTCGTCAAATACTGTTAGCTGAACCTCAACATCGCTTACCCGGTAAATATATGAAACGTGAACCATGCTTCAAAAATACGTATGGTCAAAAACCTGCAACCTATGCGTATCATCTACTCTCATGTTTCCTCAGTAAAATTCTCGATACATCATGTTTAATAGATAATTAAAAGTGGAGCATCTGCTGATATCCCAATAAAATGCTTCGTGGTAAGGAATGAGCACTTGACAACATGTAGCGCATGATATAATATACTATTCAATTACCTTTTTCCGATTGAGACCATCGAGAAACTTCAGTAGAATCTAAAGTTGTATCTTTCGGTTTATCAACTTTATGACAGCAAAGTACGATGCATAGATCACGTTTTTCGCGATATTTATCAATCTACAGAAACGAAATATGACAAAGATAATTGCGTGGATTTACGTCTTGTTTTATATTTTGAACGGCACCGAAAGATTTGGAATCGCTTACATCATATACTAGAATAAATGCATCGGCACAACTCACAAAATGTTTTTTCAATTTAGTCATCCCCCCAAGGTCATAAATTCGAACTTTTTCTTTGGAACCACGATCTGTCTCGACAACGGCATTGTATGTATCTTCATAAGTTGAAATCTAACAATCAAAACATTCCTAAATTAATGATTGTCACAAATGAATAATATATTAGACAGGAAATCTTACTATCTACAGGTAAAGCTCATAAAAACTTCGACTTCATAGCCTAAAAACGTGATTCTTAAGCAAAGTGATGTTGATCTAAATCAGTAAAATTGACAAACTACCTATCAGCTGTTTCATTTGAGTTTTCAATACCTTATGAACTTATATCAACGGTCTTCACAACTTATAGGGAACTACCTCATATATTTAGGACCATCATACGAATTTATCGTAGTTGCTCATGGTACGATATAACCGTATGATATCTGGTCACTCTAGAATAATTAATGTCCTAGCAATTAGGATTACCAACCTACACCATCCATAAATATGACAGCAATATTTCAGTAGTCAAAACCTTGTTTTTTACAGCCCTGTTCATTTTTCTTACAATCCATGGACTGTTGCATTCTTTAACTGAATAGAGAGATTCATGTGAGGTTGGACCAGTCACCTACAAATGATAGAATTTACGGTTACTGTCAACCTGAGCTAACTAGTATGAGAATAAAACCCAATATGCTTTTTACCTAGATTGAGTATGTCAAGGAAACAGTTATAGCTCTTAGTCGTCGCAAACGTATGTCAGGAGTTATTGCTGACGCCGTATATATTAGTTATATAAAACTAAGGTAACAAACAAACAGTCCTAGCATAAAGAAGTAACTTACGAAGTCGTCAGTTTGCCTTTCAAAATAGTTTCCGTATATACAGTGTTCAATAAGAGAAGTCTTTCCAGAACCGATTGGTCCACAAACTACCAGTTTCGTGATTTTACCCATTAAAGACGGTAGTTCAACCAAACCAGATTCCTGTAGGCCATCCAATATCCAATATCCAATATCTTTTTCACGAGCTAGTGTAAACCAATTTGATTTCTTCGCGCTCGATTCTTGTTCTTTCGGTACGGTTCCAGGTGTTCGGTAATGTCCAATGGATGGAGGTCTAGCCACTCGACTGTCTAATTCTAGTCAGTTGGCAGTTGGTTGAGAGTTTGTATGTCTCGGGATTTGAATGAAACGTTTGTTTCAGGGCAGTAGGGTTTCTGGATACTAGCAGCCGTCACCTTACCAAATCGGAGATCAGTTAGTTGCAATGTGGAGAGTAATAAGGGTAATAAGGGTAAATTAAAATGATAGTATGAGTAAAATTTCAGAACTGATGAATTTAGTTTATTAATTGGTAGTGAAGATTGTGAGAGAGGACCGAAGCGTAAGCAAGGGAGAGGAATAGGCGAGTTAAATTAATCAAGTGATCTGAGGAGATGGCAATGGTAACAACTAGCAGGTCTCAAGATATGCATCAGGCACAGCTTGTCCAAGAGGGAGATGATAGTCCGCATGTGAGTACGTGATTATCAAGTCTCTTCTTAAAGCAGTCCACTGAGGGGGCTGTAACTACCTCGGCTGGGAGAGCATTCCAAGTTGCGACGACTCGCAATGAGAAAAAGTGTGCACGAACCTGGGTGTTTGCTCTTTGATGTGCAATCTTTTGAGGATTGCCTCGAGGGGAGTGGTGGTGATGCATCGGTAAGATGCTCACATTGGGATGGTTGGGCGTGTTTAATATGGTGTACGCCATAATCAGGTCACCTCTGATTCTCCTGTAGCTCAGTGGGAATAATCCCAAGAGCTGGAGTCTGTCGTCGTACGGTTTATTTTTCAGCCCTATCACCCATTTGGTTGCTCGTCTCTGCACTCGATCCAAGAGATTAATGTCTGTTTTAAGCATAGGGGGTGCGATGACGTTGTGAACCTCCAAGTGTGGGCGCGCGTGTTACGGGAGAAACGAAGACATTTTGCTGATCAAAACCTTCATGTATAAATATCATTAATTTCACTGTTTTTGGGTATATTTGTTTTACTTAACTTATGAACTTGTTTGAATTATTATTTGCGGACATATTGGACTCCCGTTTCTCTTTGTTGTTCGTTGCAGTTTTTTGCTCCAAGAGATAATAAATTAGAAGGTAATTGTAATTATTATAATTATTTTTGTGATCAGATGGAACACAAGAAGTAGTGGATGGTGTCGAGTCACTCGGAAGGAGGTGAGTTGTGTTTATATCAACGAGCGGGATACACGGTAAAGAGAAGTCGTTTACAAGTTCACGGTAAGATTCTATTGAGCCAGTGGGGAGATCAGAATAAGATACGGATGGAGCAATGTTCTTACGTTTGATTTTATCGAATTTAGTAGCTGATTTGGATCTTTTACAGATGTTATATTCGACAGGTGAAATCAAGTGTTTTTAGATAAACGTGACATCTTTGTGGAATTATTTGTAAGCAGAGTTGTGTTACTATAGGCACAATGTCTGTTTGGAATTATGAAGCCAAAAACTACAGCGAAAATTACTAAAATAAGAATAACCGAGGAGAAGTTGTAAGAGATGAGTTAATATTTACCGTTGAACTAGAGTAAAAAGATCGGAAAACGAAAAAGATAATACACGTGAAAAAAGGTACAACCTTCAAAGTACGCGCCCCCAGATTGACCGAGTTTAACTATCAGCTGTGTGCGTTCATTTTGGCCTCCCTGTTGTTGTCTCACAGATCTAGGTCGGCTCTCGCAACATCTGATGTGGCTAGGTAGATCGTTCTTCGAACTGTACCAAGCTTGTAGTGTTTCGGTCAGGTCTTCCCGGTTCCTGAGTGTTACAGCTATCAGGCGTGGTGACTTGATAGACGTAAGGTGTGACGGGCGGGGCAACCTGGAGATGCAGACTGCCATCGGGGTGTGGAGGGATAGGCTACGCGATAGCCATCGCCACTGTTGCACATCGTGCTCGTGTGCTTCGTCCGGGTTACCGTTGGTGAGTTCGGGTATGCCGTGAACTACCATGGTGGTCTGTTCCTGGGTGTCTGGTGCAGTTCTGGCTGCTGCACGTACCGACCACGGCTTGTCATGCCTGATACGAATCAGCGAGGACAATTTGACCGATGGTCTTTGGGACGAAAGGATGATGTCTTCAGCTAGTCGTGCTGAGTCAAGAGTTACCCTCATTGGAGGGGGTTTTCCTTTCGAGACGTTCTGACCTTTGAAAAGGCGACAGATTTTAGCTGGGACCTCGCACATTCCGAGGGTGGAGCAGAATTTATCCCATTGCTCTTTGTCGAAGGCAGCCCTACCTTCTAGCAAGCTTCCTTCCGACACTGGGACGTTAAATAAGATGAGGGAGTTAGATCTGTTGTCCCTGGTCTTGGGTGGAGGCTGCTTGTGAGTTGGGGTATTTCCCTTTCCCTTCTTCACGGTTACCGATTGCTGCCTGTTGCTGGTAGCTACTGGGGGGATAACAACAACCGGCGGTTTTGTCGGTGTGTTAGGCAGGGTTGTTGTAGCCTTGGTCACTTGTTTTACCGGTTTAGTGCCAGGCGATTTTGCTTTGGTCGTTTGGACTTGAGGGCTGGTTTTAGGTGAGACCTGTGGCTTTGTCAGTGCCTCAGAAACTCTGCACCGAGGGCAGACGTACCAGAACCATGGGCAGGGGTGACTCAGCATGAAACCGTAGTACTCTTTAGGTACTGTATTGTCGCAGTGACAATGTACCCATGTACTGCAGAAATTGCATTCAAAAGCATGGTCGCTGGTTTTGACTGGTGATGAGCAGGCAAAACAGTCGTCCTTATGCTGTTTCTGTGTCGACCGAGCCTTGGAGCGTCTTTTCCTCCTATTCTTAACTAACTTACTGGTCTTTTTAGGAATAGGGGTGGTGTCTTGCCTCCTCTGTGGTGTCTGAGTTGAGTGGTCTAAGGTGTGGACACTGAGGGGCGTACTATCGACTGACGTTTTGGGTTTTTTAGCAGCCCGTTCGCACGATATTGGAATTTTTGATGCGCTATCGACCGCGGGGTTTATGCCTCTATAAGTCTTCCTAGTTGTTACAGTGTAAAGAGTACTAGAGACCTTATTACTTGACATGATGCCAGGGAGATTGGGAGGTGATTACCGAGATTAAAATATGAGATACACAAAATTAGGATACGAGATACACAAAAAAAGGGGTTTAGGAAAGAAGAAATCTAGTAGTATATAATAAAACTACAAGGAATAGAGCCTGAAAGTACTCCAAAATTGCAACTTTACCTTTGACCGTATTAGTAAGTAACTTTGCGTGTATCCAGTAACTTGTCCACAGGTCCTGTATTTGTTAGTGAGTGGAAGTTTGTATGCTGCCGAAGCAACTAGAAATAGAGCAGTTGAATGAGGTAGCTAGACCTACCGCGCAATGGTTCTGACTTGGAATGGTTCCTTATTCCCGAAAATGTTTTCAGATTGTCAACCAATGAATGGAGACAACTTTTTATAGTTTCGGAGGTGATAAAGTATCCCAAAAGTGGATTGTTTTCCGTAAATGGAAGAGAGTCAGCGAGGGCACGTCCAATATATTTTTTATGCTTTTATACACCAATTCTATATCCAATTTGTCCAATAATTTTTCACGAGCTAGTTAAACCAATCGATTGCTTTGAGCTCCATTCCAATCTTTCGAGGAGGTTCCAGGTATTTGGTAGTGTCTATCGGATTGTAGTCTAACCACTCAACTGAACAAATCTTGGTCAGTTGTCAGCGGTTTGTGTGTTTGCATGTCCCGTAATTTGCATGAGTAAGTTTGTTTCAGGGTATTTAGGTGTCTGGATACCAGCAGCTATCACATTACTGGTCTGGAGATCAGTTAGTTGCAACTTGGAGGATAGTGAGGAGAAAAGTCTAATGCTTATCAGGTTTCAGAACTCAGTAAATAAATAAATAACTGAGTTTATCAGTTGGTAGCGAAAACTGTGCGAGAGGACCGAAGTGTAAGTAAGGGGAGAGGAACACAAAGATAATGGGTGAGATAGACTAAGTTATTGATCTTAGGGGATGTCGATAAAAAGAACTAGTAAGTCTCAAGACATGCATCAAGCACGGCTTTTCCTAAATTCCTGTTTCGTGTGTTTTCCTCTATTAATTACCTCGTTGTTCATCTCTAAAGCTCTCACGTACCTGCCCCTATGAAGACTAGTGGGCTAAATAAAACTAAGAGGAAAAGGTGTCCTAAGGCTCGGTTGACACAGTGAGTCGCATAGAAATCGCACAAGGATAACTGTATCGCCTGCTCACTACCAGTCAAAAACAGTGACTGTGCATCTGAATGCGATTTCTGTAGCAAACGGGTCACTGAGACACTGAAGTACCTAAAGAGCACTATGGGTTCATGCTTCTGGTATATCTGCCCACGGTGCAGATTATCTAAGGCATTGGCGAAGCCTCAGGCCCTACCAAAATCAGCTCGAAGGTCCAAACGGACAAACCAAAATCGCCTGGCACTAAACCAGTGAGACAGGCGACCAAGGCAGCCAAAACCCTAGCCAGTAAACCTACAGAACTGCCTGTTGTTGTTAATCCCTCAGTACCTATTAACAATACGGAACAACGGGTGAATGAAAAAAAACGGAACGGCAACACTTCAACTCACAAACACCTACCACTCAGGGATTGGGGCAGTACACTAAACTCACTTGTTTTATTTAATGTTTCAGTGTCGGAAGGTAGCTTACTAGAAGTTAGGGCTGCCTTTGATAAAGAGCAGTGTCATAAATACTGCGCAGTCTTCGGAATGTGCAGTACCCCAGAGAAAATTTGCCGGCTTTTCAAAGGCCCGAACGTCTCGAATGAGAAACCCCCTGCAATGAGGGTCGTAATAGCCTCGACACAACTTGCAGAAGATATCCTCCTCTCATTTCAGATACCATCAGTTGTATTGTCCTCTGCGATCCGCATCAGACACGATAAAACTTTG